AACTCAAAGAGTGAAGGGTACAAAGTAAGCATTCTCTCTCTATCAAATGTTATCTACTTTTGACATGGAGCCTCTGGTGACATAGTGCCTAAGACATCTGACTGCTAACCAGAAGACTGGCAGTTCAAACCCACCAGCCACTCTGCAGAAGGAAGGTTGGGCAATTTACTTCTATAAAGATTTACTGTTTCAGAAACCTGAAGAAGGTCGCAATGAGTTGGAATTGACTCAATGGCAGTGAATTTGTTTTTTTTTTTTTTTTACTTTTGATATTATCACCATCATCATCCTGAATGTTCAAAAGCAAAGAAATTAACTTTTTTCCCCCTCTTTTGACATTTCAACTACAGACTTCCTTTCTCTGAAGCAATGAGCACAGAGATGTACTCTGGTACCCAGCTGGTGGGTTCGAACTACTGATCTTTTGGTTAGCAGCCCAACACTTTAACCACTGAACCACCAGAGCAGCACCTGCCAACAGATTAAATGTCTCTGAACTTCAAAGTCTCCTTGATTGTAAAATAAGGAAAGATACCAATACTAGACCTGCACCTCACATGACTAGCAAGAGGATGAAGTAATATGAGTTAAAATAAAAGCACCTGTGCTAGGCCCATAGTAAGCACTCAAAAGTGTCAGCACTCTTTCCTAAAGATTTGTATATAATGACCGCTAAACTATCATCAAACATGATGAACATTCAATAGATACTTATTGAGTATCAACAACAGAGTTTTTTTTCCTGTTGTTAATTGCTGTCAAGGCAGCTCTGACTCAAGGTAACATTACATACAACAGAACGTAGACACTCTTAAGAATTTGTTAAACAAATGAATTAATCTATTACAGTCTGGAATTTGCATAGTAAAACAGGGAATAAGTTTGAAACATATCTGTTAGTATATTTTATTCTCTTAGCATTATATCAGATGCAAATCATTTTCCAATATGCAAAACTGTTAAGTAGGTATCCTAACTATTCTAGTAGCCTTTCTACAATACCATTTAAGTTAAAACTATCTGCTTAAGATTTGTAAAATATAAGATCCTTTACTAAATTCAGTTATAAAACCAGGGTTAGTGAACAATGTTAAATGTAAATTGTGTATCCTTTTTATTTTAAAATTTTATTTCTCCATAACACATGTGGTCACAAAAGAAAAAAAATATTCTCTATTACTATGCAAATATATGGATTATATACTAAAGTATTACATTAACAGAATTTACATCATTTTGGAACTATGTCTAATACAAAATATGACCCTTAGTGTTTCTAAAACTTCCATTCACCTTTAATGTAAATACACATTAAAAATACCTATTGTTGTTGTTGTTGTTATGTGCCGT